AGCAACCTCAAACTCCTGGGCTCAAGCAATCCTCCTGCCTCAGCCTCCCAAGTAGCTGGGACTACAGGCATGCGCCACCATGCCCGGCTAATTTTTTCTCTATATATTTTTAGTTGTCCAATTAATTTCTTGTATTTTTAGTAGAGACGAGGTCTCGCTCTTGCTCAGGCTGGTTTTGAACTCCTGAGCTCAAACAATCCATCCGCCTCAGCCTCCCAGAGAGCTAGGATTACAGGTGTGAGCCACCGCGCCCGGCTGAGCATTCTATTTTCATTGATACTGGAAAGAGAGGGAGAATGAGATGTATGCCTCTGGCCATGTTGCGGGGCTGCAGGGATAGTCTTAAGGATGTGACTCAATATATCTAAAGCCTGTTAGAGACTTGCAATGATGTATCTGTATAGCTAAACAGTATAATGAGATTACTATTCAGTACAATATAGTCTGATTCCTCCCCTGATGAGGAATGGACAATTACTGAGAGCCATGAGAAATGTTTCCCCTCCACATTCACTTCTGGAGCCCTAAACTATATAGCAGGGGTTACAGACTCAAATGTCCACAGGGGTCAGGCAAAGTAGAGGTAGACTGTCCAGGTTTCCGAGAGGAACAGCTTCTCCTAACTGTTGCCATGTAGAATAGCATGTGTAGCCAAGACTACCAACTTCCTCAAATAAGCCAGAAATACAATGTTTTATATAAAATTACCTATTTAAAAATGATAATAGCAAATTGAAAACATTTTAAGACATCAGTGGAGACACAGAATTGTCTATGATAATTTTCTGTTCACAGCCTTACAGTTTCTGAACTTCACAGTAAAGCCTCCAGGGAGTGGGCGAGTGTCGCTATGGCAAAGTAGGGACTGCTGTGAATGACTGCTGGTGAGCACAGCTGGCGACAGCCTTTGCTCCGATATGGGGTGGCACGTGTTCCTCCTCTCCTCCCAAACAACTCTAGAGACTCCTTCACAGAGATCAAGTTCATAACTTAGATTTAAACAGAGTATCTGCCAAGAACTTTTAAATAGTTTTATAGCCGTAAGTAACCATTTTGGCTATGGATTTCTGAAAATTGATTCTGTCTCTTTAAGTTAAAATCATATCTGCTATGTGAGCATACATTTATGTTGTGGAGATGGGGTGGTGAAGGTTGGGAAGAAGATGAAAGTCCTGAAAATGAGAGAGTAGCAAGGGACGAAACAGAGGGCGGTGAAATTAGCATTAATTCCAGTGTGGTTTATGTAGGTGTATGTGCATGTGTGTATATATGCATACATATATATATGCTGAATCAAGATAATCCATATATGTTGATTACAGGGTTATCTGTAATAGGGAAAAATGAAAAAAATAACACATAAATATCCAACAGCCAAGGAATGACTAAATAAATTATGGCATTTACAAAATATAATATTGCATAGTATATTTTAAAAGATCTTGTATATAATAACATGGATTCCTGATTATGCTAAAATGCTAATCGAAAATTTGTTAAAATTGGTTTGTACAGGAAATTTCAAGTAGTTATAATTAAAAAAAATAAGTAATGCACCAGCAAGTTAATGCTGGTAGCCTCAGAATGGTGAAATTATGGTTCAATTAACAATTCTTTCCTAATCTCTATACTTTCCAAATCCTTCAAATTTAAAGTTTGTTAATGTATTGGTTAGTCACAGATATTATATTTTCCATGATATTGCTGAGATGTGACTTTACAAATGTGAACTCCTCATATTCTTTCATCTAGTCAAAAATGTTTGTAAGCTATTCTTAGTTTAATTTCCAATAAGTCTCTATAATAATCTGATTTAAATAAAGTGGCACACTAGGAACCTTAACTTAAGTTTCACCCTCAGATTTTATACATCTGCCATTCTATTTTTATACTGCTTTCAAGTTTGAGAAAGATATTTAATTATTAATTGCAACCCCCCAGTTTGTCTTTAAAGTACTCTAATTAAAAATTATTTATTTGTTCGTTGCTAAGTACGGATGAAAAAATTACTTCTGTATTTTTCGATACATCATTTATTGCATTGCTCCATTTCTTTTACATAATTATTCTTGTGACAAATTTCTTCCAAAGTGCAGGATCGGGCAAAATTTATTTCTCTTGCTGTCTTAATCTTTTTTTCCTCCCATTTGTTTGTTTTTGCTTTACAAACCAGACTATGAAAGTTATGTAACCCATTATTTTCCCTCTTTGACCTAATGGCTACAAAACTCAGAACTAAGCTTTGGAAGCAGTTACTGAACTTTTCTCAAAGAGGATTTTCTTATATAATTTATCCTTGTCATTCCCCTTTCTACCACTTAACTTTCCACCACTTATTTTTTGTCTTTTATATCACGTTAATGATTAAGTCTGTTAGTAGCTATATTTTAATTGTAAGTTGCTAAAAATCTTTTTGGGAATAAGATGAGATATAAGATTCATTTAAAATTTAGGAAATGAGGCCGGGCGCGGTGGCTCACGCCTGTAATCCTAGCTCTCTGGGAGGCTGAGGCAGGCGGATTGTTTGAGCTCAGGAGTTCGAGACCAGCCTGAGCAAGAGCGAGACCCCATCTCTACTAAAAATAGAAAGACATTAATCGGACAACTAAAAATATATAGAAAAAATTAGCCGGGCATGGTGGCGCATGCCTGTAGTCCCAGCTACTCGGGAGGCTGAGGCAGAAGGATTGCTCGAGCCCAGGAGTGTGAGGTTGCTGTGAGCTAGGCTGACGCCACAGCACTCACTCTAGCCAGGGCAACAGAGTAAGACTCTGTCTCAAAAAAAAAAAAAAAAAAAAAAAATTCAGAAAATGAAAAGAAAATAATATACAATAAAAGAAAAAACTATGTTTTGAGATAACATGGCTTAATTCACTTTTTTATTATATAAGCAGTTAAATTTTACCTATTAACTATTGCCTTTGCCAGAAGCTTTTAGCTTTTTCAATGATCAAATTATTTGGGCTCCCTCCTCTGGGAGGCAGGTGAGATGCTGAGATAGATTGCTGAGCAACCTGTGAGCTGTATATCCCCTTAAATTGGGGATTGTTAGTTGTTTTTTCATTAATTTGATCTGAGTAGTGAAAAAAAAATATTAAACATTTAAAAAGCTAGGCTTTATAATTTGTGGTAGAACATAAAGGAAAAAAGTATAATGAGGATTCCTTCCCCCATTCCCTGCTTTTTGACCAAGGTTTTGAAAAGGTAGGGTCAAAATTATAGCTCCAAAACACAGATTTACATTTGCCTAATTTATTAAGATAGAAAAAGTTATTTAAAAGGAGCTATTTTCATATATCTTCCTCATGTAAAATGTTATAGAGTTAATCTTCAAGTTTATACCCTTCCACACCCCTGCAGTGATTTTGTAAGTTTTCAGTATATTAAACATAGCAGGTTACAATTGATAAGGCTTTTGCAGCTATAAAATACAGCTTAGACCTCAGAAGATTTTTCACTTGCAAACATTAAAATCCTTTACAGCAGAGTTAATGGTGATTGTGAAAAGGAAACACACATAAAACAGCAACCCTGACTGACTCACATTAATTTTGTTCACAACAATACCTGACATGATTTATTACTTTTACAGTTAAGATCCCTGAGTCATTTTGAAATAAAATTCTCAAATTAAGACTACAGTAGAGTTTGCAACTGAAAAACTATAATTAACTTTTTTTTTTTTTTTTAAAGTTGGATCCAACCTTTGAAAACACAGTGTCTTACTATGAACTCATGGAAAAGGGAACAACCACTCTGGTTACTTACAGCACTCAGATGTTTCTGCCTCAAAGGGGGATGGGGAAGTCATTTTGTAGTAACTGGCAAAATATTTGTCAAGTTGTAGAGACCATCCATTGTTGTCTCCTAAAATAAAAATCAGAGAGCAAATAAGTTCGAGAAAACCAGAATATTCCAGTATGTTGGGGAAGAAAATAGGTCCTTTCTTTAAAATAAGTCAGTGAGTCTCAAACATAGTGAAATAAGCATTATCTGGGAAGTTGCGACAAATGTGAATTTCTGGGCCTCCACATAGAGATTCTGATTTCTTAAGTCTGGGATGGGCCCCCCGGTCTTCATTTTAAAAAAATTTTTCATGTTTAATTATTATGGGTACGTAATAGTTGTATATATTTATCGATATACCATATTTTAAACAAGCACTGTAGATGTTTCTGCACCAAGTAGTATTTGAACCACACTTTAAGAAACGTTTTAGATATGCCTAAATATAGCACACTGTTTTAGCATTTTAATTATGTTTCCCTACATCTTCTTCAATCATTAAAACTGATGCTAAAGATGTATAAACATAGATAGATGGTCATGATGATTAAATTTAAAAAGAAAAACATGACCAGCATGATCCCATTTCTTTTTTGTTTTTTTTTTTTAAAGGTGCTATGGTATTTAACGTGATTATTTCTTGTTCATATGAACAAGATTTTTGTGTATCTGCAAAGAACAAGTGAGAAGTGGGCTCATGGCTGCAGAGGCCTCGTTTCCCTTTGTGGGAGGAGGAGGCGCATCTCACATTCGTGTTCATGTTCCTGTCACTGACACATCCACCTCTATCTCAGGCAGTGCGATGGAAATTAGGTGAGGCGACAGAATTCTAGAACACAGGCCTGTTTTGTGGGTCGTGTTTCACTGCTGCTGCGAAATTCATGAGATGAGGAGGTTGGGTGACAGCCGGAGATGCTGATTTTCTTTCACTCTGTGACTTTAGCAGACCCTATATTTAGCCAAGCTTTTACAAATGCACTATTTTAATTTGCTGCAGTTTTTACTATTAATAGATAGTGACGTGCTTAAAACCATGGCCTTTGTGCCCTTTCCTAATCCTTTGTTCTCACTGTCGCTCTCTTGCAATCTTCTATTTTAAGGAGTTATACCTGGCTTCATTGCAACATTTTAGTCCAACAAATGCAGATGATGCATATGCAGTCGATGCTTCTCTCTCTCAATCCTATTCTCGCTCTCTCATTTTCTATACTTCATTGTGCCTTCTCTCTCTCTCTCTCTCTCTCTCTCACACACACACACACACACACACACACACACGCACAGTGGAGGGGAAAAGAAGGAAAGGAGGAGAAAGGAAGATGATGTCAGGATAAAAGTGGAGAATTCTAGACTAGCAGAAAGAAATAGGACAGACTTGCTAATACTTCCCCAAGTTAGAACATATATCTTGTGGAGAGATCTCTTTTAAAATAGCAACATCTTCAAACAAACAAGCTTTTTAGTAATTAGCTTTTACCTTCCTTTCTGCCTTCCTGGAGCATTTTCCTCATCCTACCGATTACTTCCTCCTGCCAGAAGGCAGGAATATATTATAGAACGTGGGAAATGTTGCCAAAATTGCAAAGTTGGGAAGTTAGCATTTTTAAGAAAATAGCTTTTGGTATATGTGTTTCTATATTTTAAATCCTGTATCCTTCATATTTTAAGGATGTATGGGGCAGTGAGCTGAATGGTTTTTCATACTTTAGTAACTATCCTGATGAAATTTGATTCTCTGATTTTTCTTGAGGCAACCTAGAGACATGTAAAGAGCTCTGTCAGCAGAGGTCCCCAACGTTTTTGGCACCACTGTCTCTGACGGCTCGAGGGCAGGAGCTTTCCTTGCCTCTTTCAGCTTCTGGTGGCTCCTGGTGTTCCTGGGCTTGTGGCAACATAAGTCCACTCTCCACCTTTGTCTTCACGTGGCTGCCTTCTCTCCAGCACCTCTGTATGTCATTGTCTGTTCCTTGCAAGGACACTGTCATTGGATTTAGGCCCCCCCAATCCAGTGTGATCTTAATCCTTACCTTCATTATGTTTGCAAAGACCCTATTTCCAAATAGGGTCACATTCTGAGATTCTGGGTGAACATGAATTTTTAGCAGATACTAACCCACTATCCCACCCAAAATGTATTAGAACAGGTTTTCCACTTCCCCAGTGGGTTATAGAAATGGTAATATGGAAACAGACTGGCAAACATCTTTATCCTTTTTCTGTAGACAAGGCTGCTGAAGTGCTAATGAACGAGAAGACAGAAGAGGGGCATCAGAACTCAGGTCTTCACGGCAGAATTATTCACCCTGTCTCCAGGATGAGGGTGGGTTAGTGTAACCCTGAGGGGAAGCCCTCTTTGTACAGCCATCTGTTTGTAACAGAAAAAGGAATACTAACAATTCTAATCTGGAAATGCAATGAGTTTCCTTTAAATAAAAATCTAGATGTAGTGAATTAATTCAATAGCATCTAAGAATTTGATGCTACTTTAACGTTTCATTTTTATTACTGAATTTGCACTTAGTGGAAATTGGACATAGATGATTTCTAAGTGAGAACCATCAACTTTTTAAAATCAGGTTCTATTGCTATTTACCTAGATGTATTCTCCCAAGTATCTCAGAGTTCTAGCTAAAAACCTGGAAGGTCCTTCCTTTTTTGGTTTGTTATTGCCGTACCAAACACTGCTCTGATGACTTTAAATTTTTTTTTGGCCTCTACTCTGAATGTGTCTGTGACAAGTCTGAGTAGAGATGAAAAATGATTAGTGGCACATGGCAAAAAACATACTAAATTTATATGGGAATTATATCAAGTGGCATAACACAAAAATATCTGTACGTTTGTATATTGAAGTTTATCAATAAGGATCAAAATTATTATAAAAATGATGCAATCAATTTTGACATATGTATGTCTGTAGAGGTATTTAAGTTCTATGTTGCCTAGATATTTTAGAAAGAAAGGAACTCCTGGAACTCCACTGAAAAAGTTTTAAATCTATTGATTTTGCTTGCATTGTGTCCATGAAAAATGTCCAGTGGTTTGATATCTTAAT